AACTCTTCATAAATCATCTGTTTGGTTTTGTAGTAAGGGATGAATTCTTAGCTTTTTCCAAATAGATAATGTCTTGTGGTTCAAAGAATGTTTTCTGCACAGTGGTTGCTTAAGGTGCTTTATCTCACTCTTGCTGTGAAATAATCCAGTGATCCCATACCGTGGTCTGACCATGAACCAAGGCCGTTTGGAAAAAAGCCAGCTTAAGTGGGGCAAAAAGACTGTTCGCTGAGAAAAAGAGGAAATAACCATCAGTGATAGTGTGTTCTTTCTTGCTACTGCTGTTTCTGGTTTTATCTACATTGCTTTTAAAACTATTCATGGAACAGTTTGTTTCATGTCATCAGTCTATCCATTGACAGGCATCAGATTGTCACTGACATGCTTGTTTGGATAATCTGTGATAGCATAGGACAGTCAGCCAAATAGTTAATTTTTATTGGCTCCTTCATACTATTTCAGTTAAGAGTGATTTAGTAATAATTCATGTAGGAAAATGTGCAGTCAGTCAAATGCTTTCTCTGTTTATCTCATACTTGGGCTACCTAACCCTGTCAAAAATAAATTATTGCTTGAAAGTATTCTAAAAATGTCAGAGTTTTTAGAGTGTCAGGGAAGCTAGTGATTTTATTAATCCTTAAAGGCAAATTAAGGCTTTTAACACAGCATTTTTTTAAAAAATTGTTCTGTTTTGTTGTTGATCGTACTAAGTTGTTCAGTTGGAGGGTCTAAACTTGATTTGTTTAACACCGTTGGTTATGCAAACTGCACAAGAAAGTTCAGGATTCTCTTTTTGATCTCCAGACAAATGAGGAGCACGCCAGAATCCATGCTTACTTGTTAATTTCCTCTGTTTCGTAATTTGCACTAACTCGTGGTATTAGATCCAAAGCGAAGAAACTGGGACTAACACTAACTGCCATTATTTCCAAACTGTGGCAGGAAAACATGGTTGGAGGTGGGTTGGCAAGCCATGGTTAGCATTAGTCATGTTTGTCTGATTTAAATGTGGTAACAAATTGTATTTAAATAACAAAAGGGGAGAAAGAACTAGTGTGCAAGAGGGAACAGCAGATGTTCAAACCAGTGACATATTCCTATTCTTACAAACTGACAAAAACATGTATGTGTGCCCAAACAATATTTGTAACAATCAGTTACTAAGAATAACTGAAGATTTATGATTAAGATGAATCAGTCCATGTACAACTGACCTGAAAGAAGAAAGTAAGGGGTGTGAAAGGTGCCGCTCTGTAGCCTTGAACTGCAGCCCTAGTAGCAAAGAGATGGGTAAAATGTGGGAAACAAAAAAAACAGAGTCGCTCTTGGGATAAAGTAGGCCAGACTTGTTGCTTGTCCCAGCTCCTGCCAACCTAGCAGTTCGAAAGCATGTAAAAATGTGAGTAGACAAATAGCTATCACCTTGGTGGGAAGGTAACGGCGTGTCCGTGTCTAGTTGCCCTGGCCATATGAGCACGGAAACTGTCTTTTGACAAATGCTGGCTTGGAAACAGGGATGAGCACCGCCCCCTAGAGTTGGACACGACTGGACTAAATGTCAAGGGGGACCTTTACAGGCCAGACTTTAATGATTACATCTGAAAAGTCTTGACATGCATAGTTTGGTAGATCTAGGCATCATATGACTTGTCAGGTACCTGACAAAAACATCTTCCAACCTTACTGCTGGGCGATGCTGGGTTGATTAGAAGTAGAAGCCCCATGGATGCACAGTCATGGCATAAATCACCTGCCACCTGGGAAAGAGATAAGTCTGGCAGCTCTCAAGCTGAACAGGTCCCTAAAGCCTATTCCCCAGGATCCCTTTTAGGGCAGTGGTTCCCAAACGTGGGTCCCCAGATGTCCTTGGACTAAATTTCCCAGAAGCCTTCACCACTAGCCATGATGGCCAGGATTTCTGGGAGTTGTAGTCCAGTAACATCTGGGGCCCCAAGATTGGGATGCACTGTTTTAGGGGAATCTGCAATGGGAGATATACACACAGATACACTCCTTTATCCCCAGTGGGATCTGGACATCTCTCTAAAACCAAACAGTAGAGCAGTGACAGACAGAAAAGCATTGGACACCAACACAAGAGAATTAATCTCTTCCTGAATAATGTCAAACACAATCTGAACTAATAGACTGTAAATAGAAAGACAGACGGTGAGCAAGTTCTAGGAATGGTGGTTGCATGCCACTGTTATGGGGAGGGAGGGACAGGGCACTTAAATTGTCTTCAGGCAGACTACAAAGAAAACATCCCTTGGCCTATTGTAGAAACCCTCCCTATGGCTGAGCCATAGCTTTCTCGAAATGAGGTGGCTGCACTGTACTTAGGGTAAGTGCCTATATGCCAGATTTGAATTGATGGGTAGGTTTATATTGATGGATACAAAATTGTCATGCTATGGCAGCCTACAGGATGAACCCCCTCTCAGATGAACAAGAATTTCCATTAGATACTGTATGGAGCACAGTGGTATTTTTCTCTCCCAGTTTAAGTAGAATATTATGCACAAACAGCGTATGTTTATCCCTATATCAGAATTTTGAAATGGCAAAGTTGTTTTCAGAAACAATAACAAATAATAATGAATTAGAGAATTGCAGAGTGAAAAAAAAAAGCACTTTCAAAATGGCCATATTCTCCCATAGAAGCCCTCCTGGGTTGTGATCTTTGAGGAGGGTATTCTGTTAGACCTTCTGCTATCGGAAGCAAATCTTGTGGAGATGTAAAAGAGGATTTTCTTGCTGATTGCCAGGGTGGATTTGATTTAAATATTTTTTAAAAATTAAAATCAGATATTTTGATATTTTAAAAAATCAATTTTTAATTTAAATTGTGATATAAATCATGATTTCAACCAATCTGATTTTTAAAAAGTCATTGATTTTCAGTGTCACCAGTAGGCGGACGACACTCTACCTCTCATTGCCACCTAAATCCAAGGAAGCTGTTTTGTCTCTAAATCAGTGTTTTGTATCAGTAATAGACTGGAGGAGGGTGAATAGATTGAAACTTAATCCATACAAGACAAAGGTGCTCCTGGTAAGTCAAAAAGCAGATCAAGGAATAGGGATGCAGCCGGTACTGGATAATGTTACACTCCCACTTAAGAAACAGGTGTGCAGCTTGGAGCTGCTCTTCAATTCATCTCTGAGCCTGGATGCCCAGATCTTGGCTGTAGCCGGGAACACACTTGTACAATTAAAACAAGTGCACCAGCTATGTGCGTTTCTTGAGAGATCTGATCTGTCCACTGTCATACATCCCCTAGTTACTTCCCAGCTGGATTATTGTAACACGCTGTATGTGGAGCTGCCAATGGAGAGTGTCAGGAAACTTGAGTGGGTCTAAAATGCAGTCACCAGATTGCTGACTGGGGATGATTATAGGGTTCACATAACCCCCTGTTACAGCAGCTCTGCTGGCTGCTGATCAGTTTCTTAGCACAATTCAAAGTGCTGGTTTTAGCCTATAAAGCCCTAAGTGGCCTGAGTCCAAGCTATCTCTAAGACCGTATCTCCCATTATGAGCCAGCTCGGGTGTTAAGATCATGAAGAGAGGCCTTTCTCTCAGTCGTGCCACCTTTACAGGAGCATCTGATGGGGACACAGGTTAGAGCCTCCTCTGGTGCTGCTCCCATCCTTTGGACTTACCTCCCACAGGAGGCCAGGCTGGCCCCATCTTTGCTGTCCTTCCACAAGCAGGCAAAGACCTTTCTCTTCAGGCAAGCCTTCCCTCAGCAACTAGCTACCTATGTATGATTTTTAGATGGATTGCTATGCATCACTGCTTTGACTGGGTTTTTAGTACTACTAGTGCTTTCCATTTTTGGGTTTTCCATTTCTCAAAGTTACATTTGTTACTGTTTTCTTTTCAATATTTATTGTTCTTCGCATTAATATTGCCTTTTAATGATGTAAGGCATCTCTTTATGGTCATTGTTCTTTACTTTAAATATTGTATTTATATTTATGATATAATTGTTTTCAACTTTATATATTGAGTCTTTTTCAAGGAGAAAGGTGGGTAACAATGTTACAAACAAACAAGTGAAGAAGACCTTGGGGTCTTTGATCTTCTTTACCCAGGAGTAGCAGCTTCGGTATATAAGATAATATAAGCATAAATTTGTATCGAAGAAAGAAAATATTGAACTGGTGGAGAACGTAAGCAAATGAAAGAGCAGTCAAGAGCAGACACATAAGTAAACATAAAAATATAAAACATACTCATTTTATTCATTTCAACAAAATCCCAATGTTTAATTACTCTTCCTTTAAACAGAAAGTCTTCTTTCTTTTCCAGTATTTTGCACAGACCTATCTTCTTTATGAAAAATTATATTTTTGGTACCTCATCTTCAAATATGAAGAAAATGTTAAGTGATCTACTTAGTTTGCAAAAATTTTTGCCACAGAAAGATGCATTGTCATGGACAATGTGGCCCCTTTCAAAGCAGACTGCACCCACAACCCCTCATTTCTGGATCACAGTATCTCTATATTGTTGGGATTTTAGTACCACCATACATAACCTGCCTGCATTTCACAGGCCACAAGCTTGTTGACTAGTGTAATAAATCACACTAGAGTAAGCCTATTGAATCAATGGGGATTTGGCGAGTCAAATGTCATTGATTTAATGTACCTATTATAGCACAATTTATTATGCCAAGCAGCAAGATTTGGGCCACAGTGAAGGAAGGAAGGAAGGAAGGAAGGAAGGAAGGAAGGAAGGAAGGAAGGAAGGAAGGAAGGAAGGAAGGAAGGAAAGGGGGGTAATCACAGGGTAATGCTACTATATAGAAGTTTTCTGCTCAGGAAGGAAGGAAGGAAGGAAGGAAGGAAAGGGGGGTAATCACAGGGTAATGCCACTATATAGAAGTTTTCTGCTCATGGCATTTTCTGTAACCTATAAGAAATAAGAAATTTTAAAATGTCAGTTCGTAATCAAGTGATCATTGCTTTGATCCATTTATTTATTTCAGTTTATTGAAGGTCGGCTCGCAAAGCTAAATGCAGGAAAAGCGTTCTCTGATGTTTTTGAAGAAGAAATTGCTTCGGGTGGCTTCAGTGGAGGTATAGATTAAGTTTCCTGCTTTCTCACTGCACTCACAGAAACTGTAGAGGATGACAGTAGTCTTTAAAATTAGTTTTCAGCTTGCCAATGTCCTTGTTTTGCCAAGTGACTTTTAGTTTTATAAAATGGATGAGATATTTCTGAAAATACAAACATTGATAAAGTGTTGTCTTCCACTGGGTCAACATTTGAAGAGGTATGTGTTGTTCAGTTCTGTGATTTTAAAATGTTGATGGTCATCTACAGTGAAATTGGTCATTCACAGTGTCAAGATTTTTAATGCTGAACACATCATTTCAGCTTGATTTAAAATCTCCTTTTCCATTTTTAAAGCAAATGTGTCTATTTTTCATACCCTTGTGGGGAGAGAGTGTATATGCACCAAAAGCCATGGAGGAATTATCACAGTCCACAAATCTCTCCAGAAACAAGAGGAGCATTTCGTTAAAATAGCAGTTTCATTTTTGTCACTTGTTCATTAGATTTAGATAACTAACACTAGACACTGATGTAGCAGGTTTTGAGTATATATCTTATATTTATATATTTGATGTTGCATTTTAATTTAAATAGATATAAATGGTTAAAATTAGGTAACTAAAAAGGGGAGATGGCACATGAAAAATTATTTTTCATTTCTCAGTTTATTTTAAGCTATATGTAAACTTTCTTGGAAGTAAGGTTAATGGAACAACCTATAGCACACTCCCAGGAGAAGATGCATAGCATTAGATTGCACATCATTGTAGAGATTTCTTTTCAACATTAATGCTGGCTGGTATTTGGGGCATTTTTGTAGATTATGTGGCTTTTACCCCAGTCTCAAGTCCCAAATTGGTGTCCAACATAGTCTTGAACTACTACTCAGATTTCCACTCCTCTTTGTGAAATAAGGTGCAATTCACATTCTAACTGAAAATACTGAATGCAAATAAATTGTAAACTCTGGACCATGTGCTTCATTATCAAGTTGGTCTTTGAGATAGGACTGTACATGACACAGCATGTGAGTGTTGTCAAAAATCTCAAAATGAGTGAGTGTGAAGACCTGTTTGTATGTTTCATGTTCCTAAAGGAAAAGCAGCAGGTGGGAACAGATGCTGAAACTTTGCCCACCTGTCTATCCTAATGACTTTTCTGCCAACTAGCCTGTGAGAAAAGAAATGAAGCCTTTGAACTGACTGATCACTGGGATGCTTCAGTGTGCAAAGCTTGTGCTCTACCACTGAGCTACAGTCCCTTCCTGTTTCTTCACTAGAGCTTGCTGCTGCTTCCCACATAGGTGTTTGGCAGCCATCCACATTTAAAGGCACGTATCTGCCACTGTCATGTTGTTCCACCTATAGCAGTAGTCAATATGAGGTGTATTTTGGGCTTTGCTCCAACAAGTGCAAAGTAAACAAAATTTCACTTTAGATGTTAGCTTTATTAGGGTGAAGCAAATTTATTTCTTGGGAAATGTTGTTCTCTTCTTTTTCCAAGCCCCAATTACTGGCATAAAAGTTGTATCATTGCCTCTTGCACTGTCTTAAAATTAACAGTACATTTATATTTAGTATTATCTCAAAGCTAAAAGCATAAGCCCAACATGTTCTGCTAAATAGGTTCAGAAGCAAAGGTAGCTCTTTCATGCAATCAAATTTTAACTTGACCATTGTGAGCCATTTATTAGTGTAATAGTACCCAGTGAACACATATATATTTGTACTTCTCCCATTTGCCTCATTTTCTTCACCTACAAAGGTAATAGCTACTGTAGATGGCAGAAAAGAAAAGAAATCTGTCATTTAACACCCTAATAAATAACTTTCTACACTCATTTTAAAGCTGTATAAACAAAACATAATTTCAATGTATTTTTCAGACCTTAGAAGACTTAAGGAGGTCTAAAACTAAACTAAAACTTTGGCTGTAATAAAAAGAAGTGATTTCTCTTCATATCAAATGGTTTCTTTTTCCTCAGGAAAGGTAATATAGCCTAAAGTGCTATTGGAAATAAAGCAGAACTGTGGTTATAAATGAAGAACACGCCATAGTGCAATTTTTTTAATGCAATTGTAAGCACTAAGTATAAATGTCTGATGTGTGTGTGTGTGTGTATTTACACAAGTTATAGTATTTCTAACTTTTTTGTTGCCTGTTAATTTACATTGCAGGAAATTCAAGATCATATAACCAATGGGTACATACAGTAAAGGTGAGGAGATATACCAGTTTTGAATAGCGTGATATTTGTCTTGCAGTATAAAATATGTCAGTAGTTTCCATTCTTTGTCACAGTGTGATAGAATTCTTGTTTATTAACGTTGAGAAGAATATCTAGGAGTACGCACTGTAGATATTAAATTATACAGACAATGAACTTCTGTGCAAGCCACACTTAGACAACACCCATTTAATCAAAATTTATTAAATATAACTTCCTGGGGGATTGTGTCTTATATAATTATTTTGACATGCATTGATAAATACGTTAACCCTGGAAGTATCACATTATAACTCTTGAGTGCTACTCTTGTTTGCATGAGTAGACAAAATGCAGCTTTAGAGGTTGTCAGTGTGGCATATAATGGGGTGGTGTTGGGGAATTGCATTTTAAGTCAGCCGGAGTTTCATTTTCCTTTAAAAACTGTAGCAGTTTGCTTTTATTTATTTATTTATGCCGCCCACACTACCCAGAGGTATATCCTGCCTATCTAGTCGAAGGACCACTCTAAGGCAGCTCTGTGCTGATATAGTGCATTTCTATATATTTATATCTATATCGTTATATTGTATATTTCAGAAAGGAGGAGCCCTGATCAACACAGCAATGAACAAAGCCAGCCCAGCTGTGAAAACAGCATACCGATATGTAAGAGTTATCTATATATGGCTGTACAAACTACCCCACATTCTAGGTCAATTCAAAATATTACAAAAATATTTTTTCACATACTTATTTTCAGAAGAAGAAGTTGATATAAGTTGTAGGAACAGAGTTGGCACATCCAGGACCATAAATAGTGTTTCCTGTTCCTGCTATATTGCAGGATCCTGTCCAGTTTCTTCCTCAGGAAAGGGAAGGGATTATGCCACAAGTGAAAAAAAGGAGTAATTTGGAGTCCCACTCATTTCCATGACTGTATGCTGGAATTCTAGTTTGTACTCTCATGTTTTTCTATCCAAGCTGAATTTCATTTTTTCCTAGGAAGAAAATCATTTCACTCATTCTTCAAAGCAAGTTATTTGGTAGCCTTCTATAGCAGCTTGTCAAAGAAGTTGGGTCTCTTCCTCTTTATCCCCATCTTTCTCTAAAATTCTAGCCTATTCTCCTTGTTCTGTTAGTGATCTTTCTGCATGTCGCAACAGTTGGAGATACTTCCTGTTTCCCATCTAGCCAGAAGCTATAAATCACTATCTCAATCAAGAGTTCATAGGTACATTTTTGGACATTCTTAGCAAGACTGGAAGTCCTTTTCATAGATATCTTTTGGCAATTTAATCTCCAATATATAAATACAATTAATAGCAGCAGCAGCTGCCCTTATAAACTTTCATAACATTAGCTATATTTATTTTAGCCTTTAAAATGACCAGATTTTTGTTAGTATTTACATAAAATCCATGTAAGTAGCTATGATTATGGCTAATTGCAGCTAATTGACAGGGTGCCAGATTGATTGCACAATCAGGCATATGACAACGCACATAACTAGGATGAGTCCCATTACCTCATCAGTTAGCCACAGCAAATTGTGCTAATCTTACAGGACACCAGTAGCCTTCTGGTCAATAGCTATTTTATTTATTAATTATATTTATGTGTTCGATTTATATCCTGCCCATTTGGTATATTCTACCACTCTTTTACTAAAAATGATCCTTTGTTCAGGTGTCTACATATAGTACCTTTGGCATCCTCATGTACACAAGCTCTGTAGTTTACTAGTCTTACAAAACAAATTACTGTAGTGGGCTAGAAGCATGGGAGCTGCTGATGTCTCAAACAGGGACTTTGTGGCTCCTGTTGGAATGAGCGACTTAAACATTCCATCTGCCTACTGCTTGGCTAGACTGTTCATTAAAGTTAATATGCCCCCTTCCCCCACCAGGCCTGGCTTGCTGCAAATAGTCCTTCGACAGCAGCTGGCAGTTTGCCAGAAGTGGACATGTTGTAAAGCAAACATCACTGCAGAAGTTTTGTACCTCTTCTCCTGTACATGGACCCTGGGAAAATGTGGGTGAAACAACTCAGAAGTGTCAGATAGACAAGAAGAGCGAGACTTTGTTGCCTGAATATTTATTCTTCCAAATCATAATCTTCCTTTGAGACTCTTGTCATCAATCAATCAATAAGTTCTTTAATCTGCCCCCCTTTAAAAGAGAATTTTAAATTGTACATTAGTTAAAAATCAGATTCAACCTATGAAGAAAAATAACCCAGGTAAATACATGTTCCATGTGCTCATAGGCTTATTTATAATTTACATACAGTTCATTAACAGATTGATGGAAAATCAGTCTTCTCTTTGTTTCCTCAGTAGATTTTTCCTCACACAATTTTGCCACTAACAGGCTTATACTTAATCATTTCTGGACATGGCTAGCTGCAGTGTTTATTCTTGCCATCTCCTGCTTGACCACATCCAGCTTACCAAGGTTCATAGATCTTACATTCCAGGTTCCTATGCAGTATTTTTCTTTGCAGCATCAGACTTTCCTTTCACTTCCAGGCGTGTCTGCAGCAGAACATCCTTTCGGCTTTGGCCCAACCACTTCATTAGCTCTGGAATTACTTATATTTGTCTTCTGCTCTTCTCAGTAGCATGTTGGACACCTTCCGACTTGAAGGGCACCGTCCAACTTGAGGGACTCATCTTCCAGTGTCATATCTTTTAGCCTTTTGTTTCTGTCCATGGAGTTTTCTTGGCAAAGATACTGGAGTGGCTTGTCAGTTCCTGCTCCGGGTGGATCGTGTTTAGTCAGAACTCTCCACTATGACCTATCCATCTTGGGTGTCCCTGCACAGCATAGCCCATAGCTTCTCTGAATTACTCGAGCCCTTTCGCCACGACAAGGAAGCAATCCGTGAGGGGGATTTGACCAAACCCTGGGAGGCAGTCAGACACGACTTAATGACTAAACAACAACAAACCTGCAATAGCTGATCTGTACAGCAAACTGCTAGGTATTATAGCTGCTGGGAGAAACCTTCAGATGTAGTAGTTCCGACAGCAAAACTTGTGTCCAAGTGGGCCGTTGGTGGTAGTACTCTTTCTTCTCTTTGAACTTAACATGTTTTTGAAGAAAGCATACATTGTCCAAGAAACTTGAATGGAGATACTTGATAGCTAAAAAATAGTTGTTTCATCTCAAAATTGAGGGGAACCGTAAGTCTCACTTTGAATGACATGAAGTCAAATTAAATTTAGCTGATTCTTTAAATACACCAAAATATGAGCTTAAGAGTGGTTTCTTTGTAGATATGAAGTACTGAGAAATATCTCTCTATGAAAAAACTAGTTTGTGGAGCACCACTAACCTAACCTTAATAAGTCTTTGTTTCTACATAATGTGAGATCTTAATTTTTAATTAAACTTCATCTTATAGAGCATTTTCTACAAATCACTGTTTTACAAATCCAGTTAGCCCTTTTTCTTTTTCCCCCTTTTCTCTAGGCAAAAAGTCATGCAAAACAGGGAATAAAGGAGGTGAAGAGTAAGTTGAAACACAAGGTAAGTAGCAGAATTTGTATTTTCTTACCTTGTTTCTTGCTTCAGTTTGAAGTATATATCTTACAAATCCCACAAGATTTGTGTTTTTAATGACTTTTGAAATATGCTTAGCCCTTTGTTCAACAATACATTTTTTATAACGAGCCCTCTGGCAACTATCTGTCATTGTATGCATCCACTTGAATAATCTCTTTATTGTTTGCATATTTATCATGAAAAAACAGAGGTCTTCAAAGATACATTAACAGGATGTATGTTTTCATAAAGCTGATTGCTTTGATATCACAGTTGAAGCCTTTGCTTCAAGCTGAGAATTTAAAGCAAGAGAGTTTTACCAAAGAACTATAATTCAGAAGGTGTAGTTGTCTGTTTAGATTTCATGAGATCTGTAAATGGTGGCAGTATTTTAGCATTCTTGAACCTCTTTAACTTTCAGGGGCAATAATATAAAAGTATATCTCATCATGCCACTGTTTGTTTATTCAGATTAGAGTTTTTTTAAAAAAATATGTTCATCTGCAATATTCTGTATTCTGTAAAGAGAGTTGATCTAATATTATTGGTCTCCCCTATTCCCAGGTTTCTGAGGTGAATACATGATTTAGATTGCAATTGTTTTTGAATAATTCATCATATCCAAAAGTTATTTGGCAGCTATTTTATCTTACTACTAAGTTTTACATTTTTCATAGTGACTTTTTTTTAAATGACAACTGTGTGTGTGCAAGGAGTTCCAATCTCAATGTTGTTTTGTAGGAAACAGAAGATGAATATGGAACTTCTAGCTCTGGTTTTGTGCAATATACTCCCATCTATACATTGGCCAACACACAAAGACTAAATACGGAGAAAAGACGTCTCGCACAGGTACAGTGCACACTGTAATTTTTTTTCATCACAGCCACAAACTTGTTCAGTAGTGTTGAAAAATCAGGAACAGAAAATACAGAATCTCACACTGCATGAGGAGACTCCTGCTTCTACTCCTTTCAGCTGCACTCTTTTGCTCTCTCTTAAGATTGCTCCAGCTTTCTAAAGCAAAAATTTGGGGATCTTTGAGCAGCAGAGAGAATTGCTTCAGTTCCCTTTCTCCTGATTAAAGTTCATTCTGTTGTTGGTAAGATATACTGAGATCCAACCAAAGTTAGATGATGCTGTCTTATACCAGAGGAGACTATTGGTCTATTTTCCCTAAATATTGTCTGCTCTGACTGGCAAAGATTCTCCAGCAGCCGTGGCAGAAATCTTTCATAATCCTGCTACTTGAGAATTTTTTTACTAGAAATTAATAATGTTGTCAGGTTTCAGACATGGGAAGGTTTCTTTTCTCCATAGTAAACCTGGGTTCAGGAACCACAAGGGGGGCTTTGGTCTAGGCCCCAAAAGATGAAACAATGCTTGGAGTGGCGTGTGATTGAAAACTGTTAGGAATAATACTGATCAGCAAACAAAATAAAGATTCCACAGAAATCAGGAGGGAAAAAAGTGGGAAGGTCGTTTGGAAACCAGAACCTTAAAAACTATTTTAGACAAAACTATCCTAGAACTTGTGTCAGTTGATAAATAAAATCAGAACCTTCACACTGGGTACCTCATTGCCGAGGAAAAAGAAACACCTTAGGAAAGCTGCTAATAAGGATTTGAGACCAATTGAAGGCTTGGAGGAGTCACTCTCTCTCCCCATTTTGCCCACTTCAGTCATTGCTGTTGGGAAGAAGAGAGCAAAACTTTAAAGGAGGTCACTTTAGCAGTAAATCTGGCTGAAGGGAAATGTTGGGGTCATGGAGGACTGGTTGGTGTTCGGAGTAGCACCGGCTTTTCAGAGGTTGCAGAGGACCCTTTGGAAAAGTTCAAGCCTCTTCTCTGAAATTTCTGATTTTTATTTTTAAATAAATGTATTCCAGATGAATATGGCAAGGGGCAGTTGACCTCTTCCAGGTGTGACTAGAAACAACACTTCTAGGTAAATTGCCTGTCCTATGGTGTCCTGGAGAGGTTTTATGTAGTAGAAAGCTAGTGAAATACTGCTAGTCACAAATATGAATACTTTGATGACATAACTGTTGATATTCAGTCATGTATCTCTTTGAATTTTGGGACATTCCTCAAATTTCTGTGGCATTGCCAGCATTCATGTGTTACTATCAGTAGCAGAGCTTAGAATACAGAGATACAGACCTTTATGAAGTTCTCATACCTGAATGAAAAATTGCAAAGGTATTCTCCCTGTTAGGTAAGATTACAGGACCTTTTTGTCAAACATCTATGGAAGTGTTTTGCAAAAGAATTACCCCATTAATCTAATAATTTAAAAACCAAACAGAAAGAAAAACACAAAAGCTAAAAACAACCCACCCTTATACAGTGGTGCCTCGCATAGCGATCCCTCCGTATAGCGATGAAATCACTTTGCGATGGACTTTTTGCCATTGCAAGAGCGATCGCTTTGCGATGGCCCCTATGGGGAAATTTCACTTTGCGATGATCGCAGGGAAGCGATCATTGCAAAGCCCCCATTTTCGGCCAGCTGATCGGCTGTTCCAAAATGGCCACTGGGTAAACAAAATGGCCACCCGCTGTTTTGCCTTGCTTTAGAGGCACCGAAAATGGCTGCCGCCATGGAGGATTTTCGCATAAGGTTAGTTTTTAAGCCCTTGGGAATGCATTAAACACATTTTAATGCATTTCTATGGGCTTTTTAAAATCGCTTTGCACTAAACGCGGTTTAATGCGTTTCTATGGGCTTTTTAAAATCGTTTAGCGATGAAATCGCTTAGCAGCGATTTTTGCTGCACCGATTAACATCGCTAAGTGAGGCACCACTGTATTTATATAAATGTTTTGCATGAAACCTGTTTGTGTGGAGTGGGGTCGGCACTGACCTTTTTACTTGTGCAAACGCAAAATACAGTATCTGACAGTAGTTGACTGTATCTTTTAAGGAAGGGGGAAAACCAGTAATTCTTCAGTATTTCTTTAATGTGATGTGATTCAGATGTATGAGTAGCAATGCTAGGGTTGCTGTTGAACCCTTAGTTCAGGGTGGGTAGACTTGAGGGTGCCTTGAAACTCTTTTTTTTTTTTTTTTTTGGTCAGAATCCTGGTATCCACCAACCAACTTGATTCAGAAGACTTAAACTCAGAGATTTAGAGATCAGGTATTTGTTTTGAATAACAAAACTGAATGAAGCTCAAAGGCCTTCCACACAGAAATATCCACTCAGACTTTGCTCATTTTAGCAGTATAATTCAGCATAGTGTGGGAGTAATTGTTACTGCTCTTCTTAAAATATTTGATAATAAGAAATCTTTGCTTATCATTGAGCTCTACCAATATATCCACACCTACTTTCTGCCTAACTCAACTTTAGTGGAAGAACTCTTGGCATTTATATTTTAATAGGCAAGTAGACTATATTTGCTTTTACAAATATTAGTTTCAGCCTGTGGTGATAAACATCAGTATCTGTAGCTTCTGCATGTTGCATAAAACTTACAATACATCAGGTTTTTCAGAAAACCCGGTCCTGTAAATAATCTATATAGAGACAACTGAGAAAGCAAGTGGTTCATGTGAAAACAGCAAATATATAGTTAACGGTTTTAAGTATTATATGATAGCTGGCATATCACCCTACAAGTTCATTATGTTCTGTAAACTGAAGTGGCAAAATCTCTATCATCTTTGTTTAAAATATATAGTTGTCTTTTAAATGCAAAATCTAAATGGCACAATTTGTAGCTTTAATTTGACTTTTCTTATAGATCTCTCTTTATACATTTATTGTATCTGTGAACATGAAAAATCTTGTCATTTTTCTACATTAATTGTTCAATTATGGAGCCTATCTTAAAACACTTATAATGTATTTTGTGCCATTACTGAGAAATATATGCTGGGAGAGCACTTATTTTATTTATTTTACATCTTTCTCAGGAAGTTTTCAGAACAGTGTACCTTATGCATAAGCTAGGTACGTAATTAAGTCACCCAAACTTTAATGGTTAAGAAAAATGACATTATCGTGTTAAAATAAATTTTGTTACTAGGTGCCAAACATTATTTCTAGGCTCAGTTCCTTGGTACTGTTGCTGCTGAAAGATCACATTGATAAATCATTAGCTAGTTATTTAATACATTTGAGTCTTTCTTACATGTCCCCAGTTTTTTTATTAATACCACCTTTGCTAATTTTGATTTCTGTTCAGCAACATTTTAAGCATTCTAGTGTGATTTATACCTACAGATGGCATTTTTTCAAAGGAACACAAAATAAGCAGTGTAAGAATTTAAATAAAAAACAGCCCTAAGATATTTAATGTATTTTCTCTTCGATTCTATCTCTAGGATGGGGATTTTAATATGTTTGTCTCCAGAGATAAATATCAAGCTAGTTGTTTGTGTATTTATTAAAAAGATATCAATAATTCGGGGCCAGGCTGCTGGGAAGACTTGGCATTATAAAATAGTATATAAAAACCAAGTCATCTCCATTTTTGAAGATCACATTAATGCTGTTTTCTCTGACATCGTCATTAGGATTATTGTCATTTTCTGGAGCAGAATGTGAATATTCTCGCTCCCCCAACAAATAGTAGTTTGTATGCCTGTCCGCTAATTAGTTCGGTTATTTCCTGTTTTTTTGATGAGGTTTAAATAAATGTCAAGGGTACAACCATGAAGATCTCCCAATTAGGCTTTACGTTTGTAAAACCCAGCCCTTTTGCTTTTGTGTGAAGATGACAGTTCCAACTGCAACGTCAGTCTAACAGGGCTCAAGGGAGAGGCTACTTCTCTGCTTTTATTGAAAACAAGGCCAGTTTGGCCCAGTGAGAATATTGGCATTGGTCACAGTGCAGATCAGTTGTTAACGATGAATATTTACTAATCTGTGGCACAAACAGTATAGGTTTCTTTCTTCCCCACCCCCCCATTGCCGAATCAACAGCAGATTTTTTTAAAAATTAATGAATTAATATATGCAACAACAACAACAACAAATGGCACCCACATAGTAGGATAGAAGGTAAATAATCTTCTCACAAATTGTTTCATCGTATTGGCATTGCTATTGTTTCTGTAGCCTCCTGCAAGAGGTTGGGAGGAGACTGCATCCTGCAAATGAAGCAACAGAAATCAGAAATTCATGATCCATCTTTGTCTCAAATATTCTGAAAATAATGGTTCTATTTCTGCCAGACATGTGTCTGCCTCCTCGTAAGCTATTCTGGGCTGTTTGGTTGTGGGTGTACAAGGGAGGGAGAGGGAGAAGGAGAGAGCTTAACTGCACTGCAAGTCAAAATTAACAGATGGATTGCCCTAAGCAAGGGAAAAACCACCACAACAAAATCTAGTGAAAGTAGAGGGCTGAAGCTTTTTATTGTTAAGCCTTATTAAAACCTTGGCATGTATTTTACTGTTAACTCTTTCATGCCTTCATGGCTGACTAATAATTCCTATCCCTTCTGTATAAGTTAGGTTCAGCATAACCCTGTGATAAATTTTAAATTAGATTCAATAAAAAGAAAAGTAAAAACAGGTTATAATGTTTACGGCATTCACAGTTTTATTCCATTGCAAAGTCTTTCTTTCTTTCTTTCTTTCTTTCTTTCTTTCTTTCTTTCTTTCTTTCTTTCTTTCTTTCTTTCTTTCTTTCTTTCTTTCTTTCTTTCTTTCTTTCTTTCTTTCTTTCTTTCTTTCTTTTTTTTGACACAGGCCATAAATATATCTCTGTCTTTTCAACACTTACTAGAAATTACATTTTGAGGGTTTGTTAGTGCCCATTAATGTTCCTTTTCAAATAAATAGATATAAAAAAAATTCATTTCCAAAGCGTTACTTAAAAATAGGAAATTCAGGCAGTACA